GCCTTGTGACTGAGTCATTTTCTTCAGTTGGGATTAGGAATAGCTAGCATTCCTTGATACATGTTTGGACCAAAGAGAAATTATTTTCTTGCCAATTAAAAATGGAACTTGGGGCTGGTGCTGTGGCATAGTGGGTAAAGCTGCCGCCTGCAGTGCTGGCATCCCATATGGGCTCTGGTTTGAGTCCTAGCTGCTCCACTTCCTGTCCAGCTCTCTGCTATGGCCTGGGAAAGCAGCAGAAGATGGCCCAAGTCCTTGGGCCCCTGCACCCACGTGGGAGACCTGGAAGAAGCTCCTGGCTCCTGGCTACAGATTGGCACAGCTCCAGCCATCGCAGGCATTTGGGGAATGAACTAGCTGATGGAAGACCTCTCTTTCTCTCTCTCTCTCTCTCTCTCTCTCTCTCTCTCTCTCTCTCTCTCTTTCCCTCTCCCTCTCCCTCTCTCTCTCTCTTTCCCTCTTCTTCTCCCTCTCCCTCTCCCTCTCTCCCTGTCTCCCTCTACTTCTCTCCCTGTGTAACTCTTTCAAATAAATAAATTTTTTTTAAAAAGAATGGAACTTAATAATAATATGGCTTGTTTCTCATAAATAATTTCCACAGGGTTTTATTTGGTTTTGTCTTTGAGCATTTATTTGCAGACCGTCTTCCTCCTGGCCAGAGGCTAAGGTTATGTGACTGTCAGCATCCTGTCTCCTTGGGGGGTGTGGTGTGTTTATTCACTTGCAGACTTTTCTGACAGCCACTTTGCTCTCTGTGTTCCCCTGAGACATTTTTAACAGCTCTCAGCTACATCATTTCCACTCACGTCATAGGAATAGAAAGAGAAACAGTGTTTGAGTGAGAAACTTCAACACAGGAATGTCATGTTTTACCTTGATTTATCCAGGGAAAATTTTAAAAATAAATGATGCAAGACTGAAGACCATAATACTTTGTAAGTCTTGGTTCTCTGTTTAGTTTTGGCATCTTCCTTCGTAAAATAACGATTTTCTCATTTGCTTCTGCTTAGGAATAAAGAGGCTTTTAATTCTAAAACATCCATGAGGATGCAGCACTGTATTTCAGGGATGGTATCTTGATTTCAGATCTAATAGACGTAGGAATTAGAAGACTCAGGAAGCTCCCTGGCCACCAGGACCTCAGGTGTGTGTGGGGTCCTGAGTTTACTGTGTTTGGCCCTCCCGGAGTCATGGACCCCACTGAGTAGGTCATCGGAACAGAACAGCAGTAAAGACCCCTCAGATAACTTCTAACATTAGCACAATAGGATAACTGGGGTTGATGGCCGCTAATTGGATATTGCAAAATAGCTAGCAGAGATTTTGAATGTACCGAACACAAAGAAGCAATAAATGTTTAAGGCGACAGACATGATGGATATGCTACTTTACCGATCTGATCACTACACGTTGTGTTGAAATGTCACATTGCTCCCCATAAATAGCTACAACTATTATGTTTAATTAAAATAAGATGTATATTTAGAAATACAGTGATCTAAAGAAACATTGCCATGAGCCTTACCTATTAAAAAGCCCAATTCTTCCTCCAGAAAATAAATCCATGTTTTTGATGGGTAATTGTCATGTAATCATTTATCAAGAGTGTTTGTAGCATTTTAGTGACATTTGAGATGGAACTACATTTAGGTGAGTTAGTCAATTGAGCAGATTTCAGTTCAACTCAGCACTGATTGGCTGTCACATTTGTGCAATGGATTATATATATCCTTTGCTTGGGCAGTGTATGACACAGCATATTATACAGACTATGCATTTAATGTATGTTTGAAATATTACTAAAAGAAAATAATTTTTAATCATCAAGATTCTTAAAAGTTTTGTAGCTTTTTAAAAAATTTTTTAGAAAACTTTTATTTAATAAATATAAATTTTGAAAATACAACTTTTGGATTGTAGCGGTTTTTCCCCCCATAACCACCCTCCCACCCGCAGACCATCTCATCTCCTACTCCCTCTCCCGTCCCATTCTTTATTAAGATTCATTTTTAATTATCATTATATACAAAAGATCAACATAATATATACTAAGATTTCAACAGTTTGTACCCACACACACACACACAGTATAAAGTATTGTTTGAAGACTGGTTTTACTGTTAATTCTCATAGTACAACACGTTAAGGACAGAGATCCTACATGGGGAGCAGGTACACAGTGACTCCCGTTGTTGATTTAACAATTGACACTCTTATTTATGACGTCAGTAACACCCCGGGCTTTTGTCATGAGCTGCCAAGACTATGGAAGCCTCTTGAGTCCACAAACTCCGACATCATTTAGAAAGGGTCATAATAAAAGTGGAAGTTCTCTCCTCCCTTCAGAGAAAGGTACCTCCTTCTTTGATGACCCGTTCTTTCCACTGGTGTCTCTCACAGAAAATGACCTAAATGAAAAAAGTCTTCTAGTTTTAAGCTCATTGTCTTCAGACACAGTACAGACTGTATGGCTCGTATTACTAGGGCAAAACATGATTGAACTTTCTAGAAAAGACAAAGTTTTGAAATGTCTTTTCCACTTGTGATGCTTAAAGGTAAGAAAGACAAGTATATATAGGTATGTATGCTTATAAAATGAATGAAGCGAATTAAAACATGAATATCATGACCCTAAACTAAATTTATCCACATTAAATTTTTAATAAATTTTATACTTTAAGTTTTATAACATATACCAGTGTTAGATTATCATATACTTCATTATGAAATTCTCTTGATAAATAGGATTTTTTAAAATTGACGGTTTACTCAATTTTTGGGAGTATTCTTTAAATTGTTCTTCTGAGAGCGTAACTTTCTGTTGGCCTTCTTAGCTGTAAGAGCTGAGAGGTGGTGGCGTAGATTATGAATGCCCAGACAAGTATGCACACTTGTCTGAGCCACTTAAAGATGGCACCCAGAACATAGCTTGCTCTGGTGGATGTTTTCAAAGGATCTCTTTCCTTACTGTTTTCAAGGAGATTGTATCTGACTAATACAGAATTCCCAGAAACAACACATACAAACCAATCCCATGTACTTTAGCAATCTGCTTATTATCTCTGAGCTTGATCTTGTAAACTTTTGACTTCCCACTGAGTCCAAAAGTCAAACTTAAAAATAGAACAATGTTAATATCCTCAGATAAATATTTGATTTAATTATAGAAGTGTAGATAACCCTTTGTAATATTTGTTTGATAATATTTAGGGCATGTACAATGAAAATAATAAATTATTGCCCCCAGTTCATTGAGCAAAACCACCTTTTAAAAGTAGCATATTAGAATAGTTTTTAGGAGTGGTCTTAGTTGTAGCTACTAGGATATTAGAGAACAAGTTGATATTGAGATGTTTCTCATAATGTTGTATGTGATATTCCGTGATTAAACCAAATGATATAAAGGCCACAGCGTGAAATTTTATTTTGTGAGAGCCTCGAAGCTCCTTAAGAAGAAGAAAATAAGATGAATTAGCGTTCGACAACTCTCAGCACCCTCGGGGGCTGCGTCCTCGGGCTCCTGCAGGCTTTCAGTTTTTCTCCTGCAGGGCTCTGGGGAAGCCGGGTGCAGTGTCCATTGCTTTCACTCTCCTAAAACACGCTGAAATTCACTTAAATTACTTTCTGCTCTATTATCTTCTTTGTATTTCTTGCTTGTTGTGGGCATTTAATAGGCGGGGAAGGACTGGGTTTCCCTTCCATTTGATAGGAGAGGACGTAAGTAAGGGACTGAAGTTAATGGCAGCACTCAGCCGTCCAAGGTTCTCCTCTCCAAGGGTGATCCTCTGTTCCTGCGTTACTTGTGAATTTACTTTGTGTTGTGTTTTCTCCTAGCTGAGGGGAGGGAGACCAAACTGAAAGGGCTTTGAAAGTCAAAGCAGAAGTCCATGTTCCATTTGCCGACTGTATTGTGGTGTTGCTACCTGTGCTCTCACCACAGTGGCTTGCCTTAAAAATGTACGTGCCTTTTAAGCTTTTATGCAAAGGAATTTCAGTGTTGGTGATAGTAGTAACAGTGTGCTTGCTGTGTGGGAGACCCTGTGCTCAGGTAATTTTTCTGAAAAGCCCCATTGTATACGGGAGGAGGTTGTGTTTCTGTTTAGGTTAAGCAGCTTGCTCCAGGACTCCCCAGCTAGTGACAACAGGGATGGGTGCTTTCTCCCGCGTGCCTCCCAGCTGTGCTGCTACCTCCTTAGCTTAGCCAGCTTCCACTTCTACAGAACTGGAAAAGCAGAATACAAAATCACTCTGGCATGCATTCTGATTGCCTTTATTTGTAGCCAACACCTTCAGGTATTTGCTTTCCTGATTCTTTAATTCCTAGCTCGTGCTCACTGGGAATCTGATAAATGACAGGATGGCCAGAGCTCTGTTTTGTAAGAAGTGGTAAATTTTTTTTTTTACCCAACCAGTTCACTTTGCTTTAGCTTCTTAAGTCTCTTCAATAGGAGAGAAAAGAGAAGAGTTAGAGTGGCTTCTCTTATTTTCAAGATTACTAATCCATGTGGGTAATTGTGGGAGGAAATTATGAGAAAATAGATCTGTTTGGCCAATGTAACTGAATGGTTAGGGTATTGCTGTACAAGTTGGACATCAAAACTATCTTGAAGAAATTAATGAACCACTTTATTCTTTAATTAATTAGAATATTATGCTCTTTCTATTCTTCATGGAAAAATTGTACAAATACTGTAATTACTTCATTCATGTGTTGTAAGTTATATAAACAGCCAATTATAAAAATGACAAATGTTAAGTTGTTTTTTAGATTATTTCATCCTTTTGGAAAAATCTTATTTAGCATTTCTGAACGATAGCTAGAGGGTACCAGATAATTGCTTCAAGAGCCTTGCCTGAATGTAAATCTTACAAAGACAGACTTGTGCTGAAGGAGACAATTCTGTATGAAGAATAACACACGCCTCCTGCTTTAGGAATCGTGATTGCTCGCATTGGTGTTACGTGATTGTCTTACTGCTCCCATCATTACTTTCTTTTAGTGTGTTCTGGGATCTCTACTGTGCAGCCCCAGAGAGGCGGGAAACATGCGAGCATTCAAGCGAAGCGAAAGCCTTCCATGATTATGTAAGTGACCATGATCTCACACCGTCACATCAGCACTGTTCTTTTCAACTGTAGCTCCTGGGGAGCGGTTTGGGTTACCCAGGCTTCTGTTTGGGTCCTTAAGATACTGGTTTTCCTGTCCTCTTAAAAAGGAGGCTCTTCACTTCAAAAGTGAAATACGCGGGTGCATTTGAGGTTTGCTGAAACTTAGGATAGAGTAGACCTAACTTCAGGCTATTAAAGATATTTCTTATTTTTAAGCACTTCTGATCTGTGATATTTCAGATGTATGGAATTTAAATAGAATTTTTTTTCTCCAAAAAGATTCATGGTAAGATTTTTTTCTGTAAACAGTAAACTCTTTTTTTGTAAATAAGATGTTAAAAATATATATGGAGATATTCTGTTCTCTTTTTGCAGTTTTATGTCATAAGACGAAATATGTCCACTGAATTCAGTTCCTTAGATGAATTCATTGTTGATTAAAGGAAATACCAATCAGAGCAGAAATTTCTGTGCACAAGTAAAAGTGTGTTTTTCTTTCTCTTAGTAACACACTGTCCTTTGCCTGAGCAGTTTTAACAAGGATGACAAATCTGCTCTTAAAAATCCGGGAGAATCAGAATATAATGGGAAGAAAGGGAGGGTAGCAGAAACAAGGGAGAATTCTTCAGAGGAAACTGGCCTGTGAGAATGAGGAGATGGTGCCGGGAGACTGTTTGCCAGGCCTGACTGAGGTCGGGCTGGAGGACACCCAGTTGCTTCAGTGGGAAGTGGGGTTGGGGCTGGGACCCAAGGCAGCAGCTTCTAGTGGAGTGCTTTGACAGAGCGCTGCCTTCCTGCTGGGCAGAGAGAGCCCCTGCTGTACAGGACCCTCGACTGGAACAGGGCTCACCTCCTAGAGGAGCCCTTCTGTGCAGGACCCTTCGACTGGAACAGGCCTCACCTCCTAGAGGAGCCCTTCTGTGCAGGACCTCAGGGGGAACAGGCCTCACCTCCTAGAGGAGCCCTTCTGTGCAGGACCCTCAGGGGGAGCAGGCCTCACCTCCTAGAGGAGCCCTTCTGTGCAGGACCTCAGAGGGAACAGGGCTCACCTCCTAGAGGAGCCCTTCTGTGCAGGGACCTCCGGGGGAACAGGCCTCACCTCCTAGAGGAGCCCTTCTGTGCAGGACCTCAGGGGGAGCAGGCCTCACCTCCTAGAGGAGCCCTTCTGTGCAGGACCTCAGGTAGAACAGGGCTGCACTTCCTGGAGAAATGCAGCAGCCTTAGCTCGCCAGAATGAAGCCCCAGATGTAGCAGGAGGAAGAGGATGCAGATGAAGAGAAGGGAAGGTCCAGGGCACTGGTGGGGTCTCTGTAATTCCTTGAGTGAGCATGGATGTGATTAATATGAGACTACTGGCAATGACCTCGTCTGCTACTGACTGGACCCAGACAGTGGCTCCTGGACGAGGGCAGGGGCAGGTGCCGCTGCACGTGAAAGCCGAGTAGAGAAAAGGCTGATATGCGGACACCGGGCTGCAGGATTTATGGGAATCATATTCTGTTGTCTTTTTACTCTCTGGTGACGACAGAAAGTAATGCAAAGACCCAGCCATAAAGAGTCCGCAGAGTGAGCTACCACGTCTCATCTCTCCTTGATGCCAAGAAAGATGAGCCTGGGTGGGCCTAGTCGTCCCGGGAGAAGTTCCTTTACCATGGATTTGATGACTGGATGGCATCAGATAGTGCCACCGCCCTCCTCTTAAAGAAAACGTTATATCTGACCATCTGCATTTTAAGAAATTACTTATATAAATTCTGGTATCGTTTGCAAAGATACACTGTACTGTTCACAAAGGTGATTTTTCTGAAGAGTACTGGACAAATTTAGCAGGTCTTTCTAGGAACGTTTCATACATCATGTTTGTTGCCATAGTTGCTTTCATCATCGTCGTCATCATCATCGTCACCATCTGACATTCGTAAGGCACTTTCCGAGTCTCAGGGCGTATTTATATTACTGCCTTCAGAAACCCCACACAGGTATTTCAAAGCTTTTGAAAACGAGCATTGGCCAAAAGTAGCAATGAAACTAGAGTAGATTTTAGAAGACCAGTTCCCTGCCATGTAATTTGATCCTAAAGAAAATGTAGTTTAGAAAGAAACTTAGCATTTGGATTTTATAATTCATTAGGAATATTGCACACGTTTTATCAGGTGTGCAGTTTTACTTTAAATATCAGTTTCAAGAGATTTCAGTCTTAAATGGCATTTTCGTTACATCTTCAAGCCAGCTTCTTTCCAGTGGTGAGAAAGCTCCAGTTTCTCTAAATTTTATGTTTCAGTAGGATTTGTATTTGTTTTCTGTAGCACCCTTTTATGACATTTTTCATGAATATGATTTCCTGAATTCTTGATAGTAGGCAATTTCTGAAAATTATCAGTGTAACTTATGTCTAACGTGCAAATGTAGAAGTTTGAAAGAATTGAGGAAGAAAATGAGAAACATAGGAATAAGCAGTAAGATTTTGGTAAAAGCCTAAACTACTGTATTCCTGCTTTGGAGGCTGTAAGTGAGTCATGTTGGTTAGTGCGTTTCTTACCGAAGTTTAAGGTAGATCTCAAGGAAGTTTTCTTAAAATCTCTTCTTGAGCAGCTGCATCTTCAGAGTAAAAGAAGTAATATCCACTTGCAAGCATGCATTCTGATACGTTTAAAAATTTGTCTTGTTTTGTAGTAACTTCCCATGGATAAGATTGACTAGATTATGACAGCTAAACTACTTTTACAAGAAGTAACGGCGGTATAAAGTACGAAAGTAAATAGGAATAATCCTTTTAGTTAAGAGATGGTTTTTAATATTAAAGTGAGTATCTTGATGTTGGGATTTTGCATTATTTTTATTTTGTGTATATTTTTTATTTTCCAAATATCTGTAATTAATTTTGTGTTCAAGAAGTTTGCTTTAAAGATTAATTTTCACCTTTTGCTGAGTTCTTAATCTCTCTTCTGAAACTGGGAAACAGGAAGCTTAGCAAATGAGTATTTAAAGGCAAAGGTAGTGGTGGTGCCTTTTCATATTCTTTCGTGTCTATCCATGGGCTTTTAGCATTTTTTTTTTTTTTGACAGGCAGATTTAGACAGTGAGAGAAAGAGAGAGACAGAGAGAAAGGTATTCTATCTGTTGGTTCACCCCTCAAATGGTCACTACGGTCAGTGTGCTGCACCGGTCTGAAGCCAGGAGCCAGGTGCTTCTCCTGGTCTCCCATGCGGGTGCAGGGTCCAAGCACTTGGGCCATCCTCCACTGCACTCCTGGGCCACAGCAGAGAGCTGGCCTGGAAAAGGAGCAACCGGGACAGAATCTGGCACCCCAATCGGGACTGGAACCCGGTGTGCCGGCGCCGCAGGCAGAAGATTAGCCTAGTGAGCCGCGGCACCGGCCAGCATTTAGCATTTGTCATGGAAGATACCTGTTGTGCACACACTGAGAAACATCTGTAAGCTGAGTAGATGTGATTTTGAGGCATTTAATAATTCATTAATTTATTTTAATTATTTTATTTGAGAAGCAGAGAGAGGAAAGTAGACAGGGGATGTGGGTGCTGGGAGAGAGAGCTCCCATCCGCTGGTTCACTGAACTTTTTGGCCACTTTCTCGAGGTACAGTGGACATACAAAGAGCTGTTGTTCTGCAACACAGTTCAGTGTTTGGAGCAAGTACACCCTCCTGAAACCATGGTCTCCATCAACGCCATGAACTCATCCGTCGCCTCCCAGAGTTTCTGCCCACTCCCTTTTTATTTTGGTTCTAAGTTCATTTTCCTTTTGCAGTACTTAATATCAGATGAGCTCGTAGCAAATTGTAAAGTATAGGATGCAGTGACGTTCATATGCCGTGTATCGTGGGCAGATCTCCAGAACTCGGTTCTCCTGTGTGACTGACACTCCGTGCCCTCTGACCAGTACCTCACCATTGCTCCCTGCTCTCGGCTCCTGGAAACCAGCAGGGGGACCATTCAGATTCCACATAGGTAGAAGTGAGATCATGCAGTGTCTGTGTTTGTCCTTTTGTGACTGGCTCCTCTCCTTAGCTCAGTGTCCTCCAGATTCGTCACGTTGTCAGACACGACAGGGTTTCCTTCTTCCTCAGACTGAATGGTGTGTGCTTGTAGATGGCCAGGGTCCCACAGCGTCTTCACTGACCTCGCCATCAGTGGGCACGTACGTTGGTTCCGTATCAGGACTGCTTGGAGTACTGCTGCAGTGAACCTGGGAGGAGGGTGGTTATCTCCTGAGGACTCAGCTTCTTTGGTGTATCTCGCGGAGTGGGATGACGCCATCAGAGAGCGGTTATTGTTAATCGTTTGAGTAATGTCTGAGTTGTTTCCCAGGCTGCACCAACTTAACTTTCCCACCAACCAGGCGGAGGTTCCCTCTTCTCCATGTGCTGGCCAAAACTTGTTTTCCTGTATTCTGCAGTTTTTGTTACTTGTTTTTGGCAGATATTATTATAGAAAAGTTTTTACTTTTGGTATTTATTTATTTGATTTGTTTTCTGATGCTTTCCTTTTAGAGCATGGATTTTTGTTACTTTATTGTTTTATTTGCTGGATAATTATATGTGCAGTGTTGATGTCTTCTCCTCAGAAAATCACCCTGTGTATACCTATCATGAGAAAAGGGGGTAATAAGGAATATTTAAGATGGATAAAACCTTCATCTTCTTGATTTATATTTTAAAATATTGAAACATTTACATTTGGAGTGAAATATTACCTAAGACATGCTCACCAGTTCTTATTTTAATAACTAGCTATGTAGTTCCAGGAAGGTCTTTTAGTATTTTTTTACTCACTTTGTGTTTCTGTGAGTTTAGACGAGCCAGCAACCTGTCAAGACCGACATATGAAGCAGAGCAGGTAGCAGGGTTCCACGTCTTGAGAGGCGTGGCGCTCTGGAGTGTGGCGTGAATAGGTTCAGTGAACCCTGTCCTCGTGGGCTTTCTGCATGGCAAAGGAGACCTTTTAGCAGGAAATCTGG